GGTTCACTACATGCAAAAACACAAAAAGACTTTTTGATTGGTTCACATTTCTCGCCATTTGGCGCAGCCAAATGAAGGCGCATTTTCCAGGACCCCAGCTAGCAACCCTTTGCACATGTCATGTCCAAACTTTTGAAACCAGGCTCAACCGAATTCAATCGTGGTCGACAGACTTCACTATCCTGCGTGCCTCCAACCTTGACTAGTTTGTGTGTAAACACGCGCATTCCCACTAAACTAAATTTGTCGTGCGGGCATGCACTTTCGCTGCCGAGCTCCTGCCCAGCACGAAACGACATTTTCTGCTACCCGCTTGGTGAGAGCTTGAGCTTTCAATTGAAAACGAATTCACCCCCTGTAAATTTAGACGAAGTCAAAGGCCTTTGGCCCACGAAAAGGAACGGAAACTTGTGTTAAAAAAATTGTCTTTAAATCCTCATCGGACGGTTATGACGACTAGTTTGATGAGGTTGGTTTGGACGCTGACAGCGTTTTGATTTTACGTAACCAAGGGCATCACGAATTCGATGACTACGTCAGAATTTTAGGGTTGCGTAGGGGTAGTGGATTGCGTAGTGAGGAGAAGCCGATATTTTCAGTGGGGGGAAGGGGGGGGCGGGAGGGGAGAGGGGGGGTTGGGGGGGTTGGGGAGGGTTGTCTCTAGCATTGAGGACAACCGGATTTTTAGAGCAGCTAGGGGGTTTCGGAGGACTGTCTCTAGCATTCAGGACTTCGCTAGATTTTTGGAGTCGCGGGGGGTTTCAAAGGATTGTCGCTAACATTGAGGACTTAGCTGAAATGTTATTGGCTGGAAATAAATAAGGGATACCCAAGTGGTACGTGGATTTGGAAGATTTGAGGAATCAGGGTTATCCCCGAAGGCATACTGACAGCTCAGGGCTGATAGACGAACACTTTACTGAATCTTCAGGGTTGCACTATGATTCAAAACTGAATTCACAGGGTGAAAAATGACATTAAACGGATTTTTCAGGATTGACACCTAATTGGCATCCTGAAAATCAGGAATTCATGATGAAACATCATGATATCTGAGGCCCTGGCGGAAGCGCTAGAGGGGGGGGGGAGGGAACCTATCTACTCATGATACCATGTTCAAGTGAAAGAATGACTAGAACAAGGCATACCGTAATCCCCCGGATATAACACCCTATGGTGGATATAATAATTCATTAAAAAAATGACTGGGTGTTAACAGTGGGCTGGAAAAATATAACGCCCATGTGTTATGTATAATTCATTTTGAATCTGATTGTTTCTAGGCTTATACATGCATTGGGTTTCTGTTAGGGAGTTTTGTGCTTTTTGGATGAGAGGATGGCCATGCCAACGTGTCGAACTCGGCATGGGCTATAGGATTTGTGGCCAATCCGTAACGGTCACAGCTGCCAACACCCAGCGGATTGCTGCCATCGGCTGCCAGCGCTGCGAGTTCACGGCTAGGTGCAGTAGATGCTGCCAGCGCAACACCTGCGATGGAATCTGGCATCTCAAGATGCCCTTGGGAAGCTTCTCGACCAGACCATCGCATGCTAGCATGCGATGGTCTTTTTTGGCTTTCAAGAACCGTGCGCGGCTCGGGTAGGGGGTCGGCCCACGTTTCTTGTTCATCCGTTTGTTGTCGCTGCGTCATTTTAGCGTTCCAGTACTGTCTTCCCAACAGAAAATCCCTCGCGATGTCGAACCTCTCTAACAGAGCCTCGGGCATAAGTCCGCCGAGGCGATTTTGTAGGCAGAGACTCAGCCATGGCGGCCCGTGCTGTTAGCGGCATCTCAGTTTTGCGAACCCATCGTCCACCCCACGGTAGTCAATTTCTTCTCCGTCCGTTTCCGTCGATTCCTCCAGCACCACCTGCGCCGCCAGCACCGCCTGCGCCTCCCGCGCCTCCTGCACCTCCTGCCCCACCTGCTCCTCCCGCACCTCCCTATACATCATGTCCGAGTGCAAGTCGTCCCGAGGAGTGGGACAACTACTGGCAGGACGATGATGAGCTAGACTGGGAAGATGCTGCCGATGGAGAGCCAGAGCCACCCCCGACACTTCCTCGTGTCATTGTTCCATCTTTCCCTCAGCCCATTCGTCGTCCCCACATGCCGCGAGTTAACCGGGATGCTGCACCTCCCTCCCCCAGACATCGCAGGACCAGCCGCAAGAGAGTCTCGCGCACAGCGGCGGAAAAGCTATACTGGTTGGCCCATCTCGACTCCGACCCGAAGCTTTTGAATCGCAAGCTGGCGAAGATGGCCGAGGTACAACCCTGTCAGATACGCGACTGGAAGAAGAACAAGGCACGGCTGTCGGCGGCGGCGGGATGCAGGCGTCGTCTCATCGGTGCTGGACGCAAGGCGAAGTTCCCCGACATGGAGAAGGAGATGTACAACCGCTTCCTCTCACACCGTGCGCGCGGCTTGGCGGTGTCGGTGAGTTGTCTGCAGAAGTGGAGTAGGAAGTTCATGCGGAAGCGCCATCCCGGTGTCGACTGGCGTGCGTCATCCCGTTGGACCTTCCGGTTCCACACGCGTTGGGGATTGACACGGCGCGTCAAGACAAAGATGGGCCAGCGCCTAACCAGCGGTGCGTTGTGTGCTTGATATGCAAGGTCTTTAGCAATTTCGCTTGCGGTTTCCTATTCATTGAGCTGTAAGAACTTAAGCATAAGCATGTACACTCACATCGTTTATTGTCTTCTCGTTATGCAGATTGCGAGGCTAAAGTCGAGAAATTCTGGGAGTTCGTACGCCAGATGCGCACAGTCAACAAATATGACGATGACTTGATTATCAACGCCGATCAGACGCCCTTGTTCCTCGAAATGCCCCAAGAGACTACATTAGAAGTCCGCGGTTCAAGGACGGTACATGTTCGGACTGCTGGCTACGAAAAGGAGCGGTTGACCGTGATGCTGGCGGTCACTGCTGGCGGCCAGAAGCTGAAGCCGTATGTCATCTTCAAGCGCAAGACGCTCCCCAAGATTCGAGTCCCGCCAGGTTAGTATCGATTGGGTATTGATGTCAGTAAGTGTTTCATGTACCGGAGTTAGAAACTAATTGTAAGCTTTTTGGTTCGTTCATGATTGCATGCAGGAATCGTCATCCGCGCACAGGAGAAGGGATGGATGGATGAGGACCACGTGAAGGACTGGATTACGACGGTCCTTGTCCCCTTTCTGAAGCGACTTCCTGCACGCCGTGGCGGGCGGCAGAAGGCTCTCGTTGTCCTCGACTCCTACAAAGGCCATCTGACTGAGGGGGTGGCGGCGTTGATGCGTCTATTCAAACTCTCACGTGCCGTCATACCTGGCGGCTGCACGCCAATCGTCCAACCTCTCGACGTAGCTGTGAACCGCTGCTTGAAGGCTCATGTCCGCCGGTCCTACTCAGGTTGGTTTGAGGAGTTCGGCTGCGACGCGACAACTCCCGCAGGTGATACCCTTCATATCCTTGAGCTCTGCTCTTCATACGTTCTTGTTTACCGTTTGCTTTACGACGCCTTGACGTGTTGCTCAAGTTCTCGCTTCGGTTTGCCTAATGCGCGATGTAATCTCCACCCAACCCTGTCCGCCCTTCAGGAAATCTGAAAAAGCCTCCGGCGGAGGTGGTGCTGCAGTGGATCGCGGCCGCCTGGGAGGCAGTCCCTACCGACCTCATCCGCAAGGCTTTCAAGACCTGCGGCATCTCCAACGACCTCGATGGCCTTGAAGACGACCTCATACTCGCCCACATGCGCAACAACGCGGAGCTGGAGGTCATGGACGATGTGCATGCGGAGGTTGAGACGACCGGGGAGAAGACGAATCCCCTCTTCGAAGCCGAGTTCGTAGAGCCGACCGCCGACGAGCTCTCCGAGGACGAGGAGTGTGACATCACTGTCAACGTCGACCTGCCGCAGCATGCACCGACACCTGGCGTCGATGTGGCGGAATCGTCTGCGATGGCGGAGGCTCGACTTAACGCTGCAGCAGCTGCAGCATCAACATCGACAACACCAGCAGTAGCTGCAACTGCACCTGAAGCGGCTGACACTACAGAGAGCAGCGATGTGGACTCCGCAGAGATGGCGCCAGCGGCGGAGGTACTTGCTGGACTGGCCGCCTCCCGATGGACTGAAGAGTACGATTGGGACGATATTGCATCCGACGATGATGATGTAGAGGCTTGGCACGCTGGAGATGAGGATGACGAGGAGTATTAGGTAGTGAATGATGTCTCTAATTTCTAACTTAGACATGATCTAGGCCTTGCGCTACTCACTGGATGCTATTCTTGTAGGCAACAATGATTAGGAATTCAAGCGTGTTGTAACGCTGCTGTAGTAATAGGATGCATATGGTAGAATATACAATTGTTTTAGTGTACTCCAAGTAATAAAAATAGGGGGGCGTTATGTATAATTCGTCGCCTGAAAAGCGGGTACTCTAAAAAATGCACCATATCATAAGCTCCCCCCCGTATTAACCACCCACGGAGTGACTATTCCGGCGGGTGTTATATCCGGGGGATTACGGTACAAGTGAATATAACCTAATGGGTTGTATTCCCTAAGGCACAAACCTATATAGTCTACAAAAACATACAATATATGTTTGACACGTGTTTCTATGGCCTCTCCCCAGGCCAACCCCTTCCCAGACTTTCCCTGTTGCCTGAATCTCGGCAATGCTGAGCCCATTTCGTATCAATTTTGCGTCAATTTCGCGTCACACTGCGTGGAACCGTATTGCACCGTTCCGCGTCAATTTCGCGCCAAATTAGGTCGCACTGTAGCGCGCAAGTTTGGGAAGAGGCCGTAGGTGTTAGAATACGAGAATGGTAGGCTAGTAGGAGGTAGGGAAGGCCGCCATGAAAGTGGCGGCAGGGTTTAGCTAGGAGAGTAAGAAAGGTGTCGAGAGAAGATAGCGAGACTAGGAAGAGAGAGGCATACAAGGAGGGGATTGTACCCTCTACAGTAAGGTTCAGTAACAACTACCAAGCCTATCAATTATATAACAAAATATAATTTAACAGTAGGAACACGCTCGAAGTATACACTTTGGAGAAGTCCTCTACTTTTAGACCTTTTATTCACAGTTCTCAATGCCAACCCTAAACTCGTGGTGGGATTTATGCACTATAATGCAGCACTTCAAGGCACTCCCTATCGCAGCATGCTACTTCGCTCTACCATATGCGCTGAGCATTTCAGCACCCTTGGGGGCTACTACTGGCCTATCGCCATAGGCAGCGAAGACAGGGTGCACCTGATAGACAGCCCATGGCAGCAGGGCGCCGCGCATCACAGCATCCAGAACTGCTGGCGCCCAAAGGAGGGCGAGCGCATGAGCAGCGGGCTGAGAGCACTGATGTCCATGTCTGGCCGCGCGTCCCCTATGCGGTCGATGTCCACCTCCTCCATGTCCACGTCCACGTCCTCCCACTCGCCCCCTATCCCCCTTCCCATGCGCGCCTCCAAGCCTCCGCTGTGGCTGCTGCCAGGAGTGTGAGGGTTGGGGGTGAAGGCTCGGCGCAGCATGCGCACATGGGGTGAGGCGTTGGGGTCGGCGGCAGCAGCAGGTAGTGCAGTGAAACTGTCAGCCTGGTGCTGCTGCAGGCGACTCAGCGTGCGCGAGAACGACCGCCGCCGAGCCAAACCCCTCACCTGCCCAGGTGGGCAGCCCTCCGTGACCCCCATACCTGCCGTGTCCACCACGCCTGGTCCCTGCATCTGCCCCGCGGCCCGCTGCTGCCGCTGCTTCATGCGCGCCGCCAGTCGCTCTAGCGGCTGGCTCTTGCTCTTCCACGACCCCCGCGCCGCCCCTCCCTGAGCCCTCGCCACTGGCCCCCCGGCCGCCATACCGTGAGGCGCGCTGCCAAGCACACTGGTGGGCGCGGCGTCGCTCTCACCGCCTGCTGCTGCAGCCACTGCGGCAGGCAGCAGCGTGTTGGCAGGTGGTGGTGCAGCAGCAGACGCAGGCATGAGAGCGTGTGCAAGCGACACAAGGGCGGAAGGGTCTGAGGGCTGGTGGGATGGAAGAGGGGCAGGTGCAGAGGTGGGAGAGGAAGAGCCGGGGACAGACGGTTGGGGAGGTGGGAGGGGCAACGGCGGAGCGGTGCAGGAAGATGATTCTGCCAATGGTGGTACACCTGCTGATTCTCCCGCTGCTGCTGCTTTCCCTCTGTCAGTGTGAATTGTACTGCCCGCTTGCTCTTCTTGCTCCTCTCTCTCCCCTCTGCCCTCCTTATCCTTGTCCTCCGCATCTTCTCCCTCCTCCTCCTCCTCAGGCACACTCTGTGGCACACTGCACTCTCTCCTCCCACTGCTCACACTCCCCACACTCTCACTCCCCATCACCACTCCACTCTCTGCAGCACCCCCACCTTCACCCTCCCCTGCCACGCCCCCTGTCCCCCCCCCCAGGGCACCACTGCTGCGTGCCACGGATGACAGGTGCCCCAGGATCTCGTTCCACTCCTCCTCGCCCTCGCCCTCCCTCCCACCCTCCGCGCTGCCCGTGCGCCGCACCCCCCCGCTCCACGCCACGGCGGCCGGGCTGCCAGCCTGCGACCCGCGGCTGCAGCTACTGCGCGCGCTCAGGGGGCCCGACACGGGCAGGGGGCACGGGGAGGGGGGGTCGCTGGGCGAGTGGGGGGACGAGAGCGAGTAGGCGGACAGTGCAGCGGCATGCAGGTCGATGGGGGGCACGGCATGTGAGCAGTCGGGCAGACGGTCGTCTATGAATGACAGCCAGCCCTCACCTTCCCCCTCACATGCGCTCTCCCCTCCACGTGCCTCCACGGCTGCCATCCCCTCTCTCCTTGCTTCTGCTGACCCCACATCTCCCCGTGCTGCCGCTTCGCTCGTGATGGCGAGCGCTGCAGCTGCTGCCAGGGACACCGCTGCCTGTGCCTCGCCACGTGAACTTGCAGTGTCCACTGCTGCCGAGTTCCCATTGCTTGCCGCCACATCACTGGCCAAGTCAGCTGCCAGCTCAGCAGAAGTGGGTGCAGGAGGGGGTGGGCAGGGGGCTCTGATGGCGGTGCATGGTATGGGGTGCCACAGCCGAGCTTGACTGGCCCGCCCCTTCCCCCTGCCACCACCACCACCTGCAGCCGCCCCTCCACCACCTGCTGCCTCCCTGTACCCCTCCTTGCCACCGCCCCTCCCACCCTCACCATCCTGCCCCTCCTCTTCTCTCAACTCCCTCCCTTCTTCCACCCCATCTCCTTCCCTCCGCTCCACCGCCCCCCCACCCCCTCTGCCCACATCCCTCCCAGCTTCCCACCTGCCACAACTGCCCCCTGCCATCGTGTATTTGCCGCTGGGACCGCGACTAGCAGCGCGGCACCCTCCCTCTCCATCACTCTCTCCTGAAACCTGCGCATGGGCAGCGCAGTTGCCGGGGTGGTGTGTGTTCGCGGGGTCGTGGTAGTGGTCGGGGTGGTGGGAGGGCTGCTGGCGGCTGGCGAGGTGCTGCAGGCCGATGAGCAGCAGCAGCACCAGGCGCTCCATGCGCGCCTCGTCCACGTGCTGCAGCGTCTGCAGGCGACTCAGCGCACTGCCGCCCCGCACCCGCACATCACTCGCGTACCTGCACGCACGCATGCAAGGGGGCGGGGCGGGGGGTTGGGGAGAGAGGGGCACATGGTGGGAGGAGTTGAGTGATGGTGAGAGACAGGAGTGGTGAGGGAGCAGGAGAGGAGATGAGAGTGCTGTGAGGTGCTGCTATATGACTCCTGATGCTGTTGCAAGCACCTGACGGTGTTGCGAGCACCTGATGGTGTTGCGAGCACCTGATGGTGTTGCCAGCACCTGATGGTGTTGCCGGCACCTGATGGTGTTGCCGGAACCTGATGGTGCTGCCAGCACCTGATGGTGTTGCGAGCACCTGATGGTGTTGTCTGCCATGGTGACGAGCCAGTCCAAGACGCCCTCCAGCTTCTCCTCTATGCTCTCCGTGCTCTCCTGCCACCCATAACACCCATGCCATGTGTATCCACAGCCAAATGCCATTCCATATCATGCCACAGCTCAGGCCATGTGCCATGGCATGCCATGCCATGCATGAGAGGGTGACACAGAATGAACTCCCACAGAATACCACCATGGCATGGGATGGGATGGGATGGCCTGGCATGTCAATTCACAACACGTTTTCGGAGCAGAGAAATACACAACGGTATGTGCAACATGCACGCACATTCACACAAGCCCACCATGCAGATGTGCTGCGACTGCAGCAGCGCCCCCTTGAGCTTGCCCCGCAGCGAGCACGGCAGCAGCGAGTACAGGTAGTCCCGCCGGCTCTCCGTGCCCTGCATGCCCACCTGCCGCCCGCCCGGGAGGGGGTGGCAGGGGACGAGACAGAGCGAGGAAAAGAGGAGGTGGTGAGAACACGGAGAGCAAGGGCAGGGGCACACTAAGCGCTTCCTGTCCCTCATGGGGCCGGGGGCGGGGGATTGACTCCATGCCCTCCCGCTCTCCTCATCACTCCGCCTCTCCCCGGGGCACTTCTCCACGGCGGTTGCGTTCCGCCTGGGGCTCCCCCACGCCACCCCTGGCCGCTGTGACTGCCGTGAGCCCGTCGAAATCCTGGAACCACGCCTGCCCAACCACCTCCTCAGGTGCCGCCAGGGCCCAGGTCACACCGGCACTCATCACGGGCTGCGGGACGAGTGTGCAAAGATTGCGGTGGAGGCGGGGTTCATCACCTGCATGGAAACAAACCTCTTCACCCGTGTGGCCAACCTCCGGGCCGACGTCGCCATCCGGCATCCGGACTCGGGTACGGTTTGGCTCTGTGACGTCACCGTGACCGACCCGATGTCACAGGACGACGAGTTTGCTCGGCGGGGCAGTGGATGGGCTGTCAGGAGGGCCGCCAGGGAGAAGGAAACAAATACCGCCCACCGGCACGGCCGGAGTGGGTCGGCTTCTTTGCTCTGGCAGCGGAGACCTACGGACTCACCTCCCCGGGTGTCTTCCAATTCCTCCGGAAGTGCGCCGAGCTCGCCGCGAAGAAGCGCCTCGGGGCTGCCCCCGAGTCTAGGGAGGCGGCCAAGCCGGTCCATGAGTACCGCCAGCGGTGGTCGCTGACTCTCCAGCGTGAGCAGGCTGTGGCCCTCAATACCAGGCCCAACCTGGCCCTCGCCGCGGAAGAGTGGCCCCTGGGCGATGCAGCTGACCCGCTCCCCGTGGGGGACCTTCTCCAGGTCTTGGTGCCGGCGCTCGGGGACTCCTAGGGACCTCGGCTCGTACCTTAGGACTGATTTGTGCTTGCCTTGTACGTGCTTACCTTACATTGCCTGTACCCCTTCCTATCTAATACAAAGGACGAATTGAGGGCAGGGGGGACGGGCGGAGGGCTGCAGGTGAGAGAAGCATCACCCCGCTGCTGACGACTAACAGCCAACTGTTGTATCCCTTGGCGGTTCTGCCATGCCATCATGACCAACCACATGCCATCGACCAGCCACATGCCATCATGACCAACCACATGTTGTAATACATTATTATATACAACATGCATGCCTAGATTAGGAGGTGTAGACATTTAAGTTATTGGGGGGTTGTTGGTTGGGATCACCAACCACAAATTTGGTTGGTCAAGATTGGATTTGCCCTTGGTCCTTTGGTTGGCACTTTCCAACCGAATGGTCCCAAGGCTCCACCAATCAGCAACCACCACACTTTGGGGTTGCTTCCCCTCCAAGCTACCTCTCCTATTGGCCACTCTTGTAGCCAATAGGAGTGCCTTCCGTTCCAACCATTCCTTGCTCCTTGGTTGTACTATAGAGCCTCTTGGCTCCCTTTCTAGTTAACACTTTTCTCTCTAATGTTACTTCTCTCATGGTATTCAGAGCCACTGGCTCACGCCACCCGGTCGATCCTAACTAGCATGGCCTAGTCCTTCCTCCCCTCCTCACTCTCCAGCCCTAACCCGCCCTCAGGCTACCCGGCTGTCCTTTCCGGCATCCCCTTCTCTCCCCCTTCCGCCTCGCACTCCTCGCACCGCGTGTCTCCTCGCGCGCTCCTTCCGGCGAGCCCCTCCCGTCGCGCTGCTCCAGTCGCGCGCTGCTCCCGTAGCGCTGTTCCCGTCGCGCGCTCCTCCCGTCGCGCTCCTCCAGTCGCGCACTCCTCCCGTCTTGCGCTGCTCCCGGCGCGCTTCTCCAGTCGCGCGCTCCTCCCGTCGCGCGCTGCTTCTGTCGCGCTGCTTCCATCGCGCTCTTCCAATCGCGCGCTCTATCACGCGCTCCTCCTGTCGCGCGCTGCTCCCGTCGCGCGCTGCTCCCATCGCGCTGTTCCCGTCGCGCTGCTCCTGTAGCGCGCTGCTCCCGTCTTGCGCTGCCCCCGGCGCGTTGCTCCCGTCGCGCTCCTAAAGTCGCGCACTCCTCTCGTCGTGCGCTGCTCCCGTCGCGCACTCCTCCCGTCGCGCTGCCCCCGTCGCGCGCTGCTCCCGTCGCGTTCCTCCGCAGTCTCCCCCAGCCGCGTCGCCCCACGCCGCGTCCGCCCTTGCGCTAACTGCCTGCGCTCTCGTCCCTCTCCAAGGGTTCGCGTCGTCTGCCTACGGCGACTTAAGAGCTGCGCTCCGCGCACCTGTTCCTTTCTCCTCCTCCCTCCTCCTCCTCTTCCCTCCCCTCCTTCTCCTCCCTCCTCCTCTTCCCCCCCTCCTCCTCCTCCCTCCTTCCTCCCCCCCCTTCCAGCATGGCGTCCTCGGATTCTTCCGTGGATCTTGCCACCGTGGATGCCCTTGAGCTGCTGCCGGACAACACTGCTGCAAACTCGCATTCCTGTGCCCACTCCATCGCCGTCCTCCTCTCCTCCGTGACAGTCAGCGGCGTCAATCTCAAAGCTGTAGTTTTCATGGAGGAGCGCGGCCTTCAGCCTGTTGCGCCCGTCGCTCCCGAGGGCCCTGCACCCGACCATCCTGGTGATGCTCCCAAGTCCCCTGGCGATCCGCCCACCTTCGCCCCGGACGTCAGCGACCTGCAGAGCTCGGAGACCGCCATCCGCACGTATCGCAGCAGCCTCACCGAGCACCTCCGCCTGCAGCTGACCTATGAGACTCAAAAGACCAAGTTTGATGTTGCATCCGCCGCCTACACTGCGCACCAGGCGGAGCTCGCTACCTACACCACTCGTCAGCAGCTGTACATCACCAACATCACCGCCTGGCGTGTCGCTGATCGGCGTGCACTCGCCATCCTTCTCGCCACCATCCCCTCCTCCCTCAAGCGGGAGCTTGCTCCCACCTCCTCCTCCCACCTGTGGCAACTCCTCACCGATCTCTATGATCGGCAGGACATTGCCACCCTCTACGCCCTCATTAAGGAGTTCGGGTCCCTGACCATGGATTCCTCCACCGGCGCAGCTGCATTCACTCGTCGTGTGCTCGACCTCGCCCGCCGCCTCGCTGCTCTCGGCGTGCCGTACCCAGATCCCGTGTTGTGCTGCCACCTCCCTGAGGGCTTGACTCCTGCCTTCGACGCCCACAAGCTCGCCTACATGTAGCTCCTCTCCAAGCACGATACCCCAACTCAGGTCGCTCAGTGGATCATCACCACTGAGGCCGATCTCTTACGCCATTCCTCACCCTCCGCCGCAGTCGCTGACCCGCGCAGCAGCAGGGGTGGGCGCGGGGGTGGACGTGGCGGTAGTCGCAGTGGAGCTGTGGGTCGTGGTGGTTCTGGGCGTGGTGGCGCAGGCCGTGGTGCAGCAGCGGCCTTCCCTCCCTGCCAGTATGTCCCTCGCTATGGCCCTACTCGGGGTCAGCGCTGCGGCCAGACGACTCATTCCCCTGAGACGTGCTTCAAGGCACTCAGTGATGAGTGGTTTGCCTGTGGCAATTCCGGCACTCCTCCTCACTGGTCCTCCCTCACTCCCCGCCCCACTCCCCAGGAGGTGCGTACCAGTCCCCTCTATCAGCCCTATTCCTCCGCCCAGGCTAACCAGGCCATCGCCTCTCCCCTCCTGCAGCAGCCGCAGCAGCAGCAGCCAGGGGTGCAGCAGCAGGGGCAGCAGCAGCAGCCAGGGGTGCAGCAGCAGGGGCAGCAGCAGCAGCAGCAGCAAGGGGCGCATCAGCAGCAACAAGGGCAGCAGCATCTTCTCTCTCAGCTGCAGCAATAGGTTCAGCAGCTCCAGCAACAGTTTCACCTCCAGTCGCAGCTGCCACTAGCTCCTCCTCCCATGGTATCTCACCAGCAGTACTTCCTCGCTTGGACTGCACGGAGTGCTGCCTCAGCTGCGCATCTCTCCGGCGCCTCCCCCGCGCCCTCAGCTGCTGGCAGTGTGACCACCCCCTTCCCTTCTTCTGGCTTTGTTGGCATGCTTAGTCAGGCTGCCCCTCCTGCTCCTTCCATGTATTCCGCTGCTATTAATGAGAATGTGTTTCAGTACTCCGTCCCCCCACCTCCTCCCTCGCCTCTAGCTCCCTCCACCCTGGAGTTCGTCCTTGACAGTGGAGCCACTGAGACAGTCCTCCGCGACGCTGGTACTCTTTATCCCCTTCCCGTTCCAACTTCCCTCCTTGGTGCTGACACCAGTTTCTCTATCCCCTGCCGGCACACCTCCACCCTCCCCTGTCTCTTCCCCTCAGGTACCGTCACTGGTCTTCACATCCTTTCTCTTCGTACTAACCTCCTTTCCCAAAGATCCCTGCAGCAAGCTGGTATCACTACAGTCTTCCCAGGTCGCGCAAACCATTGCCTCCTGTATCACCCCACTGGTCGTATCCTCTCCCGCATTCCCTTTTGCCTTCGCTCACGCCTGTATACCCTCAAGGTCCCCCCTCTCCACTCAGCCCACGCAGTTTCCCGCTCCCTTCCCCCTTTTCACATCCCCCCCCCTCCCCTCCCCCCTACGAACCCAACCATCCCCCCCCTTCCCCCTGATTCTACCTGTTCCTGTCGGTCTCTTTCCCATCCCACCGTCCTCCTCCACCACAGGCTTGGTCATCCAAACTTTGCCACTCTCCGCTCCACCGCCGCCTCAGGTCTCTTTCGAGGTCTCCCTCTCACCCTTCCCCCCCTCCCTCCCTCCCCTGCTCCTCCTTGCTCCATCTGTGTCCAGAGCAAGCTCAAGCAGCTCCCCCATCGGAGTTCCCCCTCCGCTACCGCTAAGCCGCTTGACCTTGTTCACATGGACCTCTGGGGCCCCAACCCCTCCGCCTCCCGCCACGGCCATCGCTACATGCTCGTCCTGGTCGATGATCACAGCCGGTATTCCTCCGTCTCCCTCCTCCGCTCAAAGGGCGACGCTCCGGCTGCGATCATCGCCTGGCTCGAGCAGGCTAGCACTCACTTTGGCCGCCCTGTCCGCCGCCTTCACTCCAATGGCGGTGGCGAATTCCTTAACCACCAGGTAGCCTCCTATTGTGAGTCCCATGGCATTCGCCAGACTCACACCCTTCCCCACTCCCCCCAGCAGAATGGCGTGGCTGAGAGCCGTGTTCGGGAGATCACCAAGATTGCTCGGTGTCTCCTCGTTCATGCCTCCTGCCCCCCTTCCCTGTGGGGCTATGCCCTCCTTCACGCCACCCTCCTCACTAACCTGTACCCTCACCCCATCCTCCCCTCCACCACTCCCACCGAGCTCTGGACGTCAGACAAGCCAGATGTCTCCTCCCTTCGTGTGTGGGGCTCCAAGGCGTATGTTCTCATTCACCCCTCGGATCGCCCCCGCGCAGTGGGCAAGCTCGCCTCCCGCACTCTCCCCTGCATTTTCCTTGGTCATAACCCCTCCTCCCCTGACTACCTCTTCCTCCATCCTCCCTCAGGTCGTTTCCTCCGCAGTCGGGATGTGGTCTTTGATGAGTCCACACCCTACTATTCCTCCCCTCCCGCCACTGACCCCCTCACTCCCGCTCCCAGGTCCCTTACCTGGTCTGACACTGCCCCCCCCCTCTTCTCCCTCCCCCTCCCATTCTCCCCCCGCCCCACCTCCGCCCCCCCCTGCCTCCTCAGCCCCCAGTGCTCCTCCTTCCTCAGGTGACATCTTTGATCCCGACCCTCTCTTCCCACCTGCCTCTCTTGCCCACTCCTCCTCCTCCGCCCCTTCCGCCCCTCCCCCCTCCTCCCCCCACCCCCCCCCGCCCCTTCCTCCCCTGCCTCCCGCTCGTTCCATCCTCACCCGGTATCCTCACACCAGGTCCCGTAATGCAGTCCTAGGTGCCCCCCTTCCTGTTACCCTGTCCTCCTCTACCTTGCCTCCTCTCTCCTCTCTCATGCGCCTCCTTTTCCAGGCTGTCTTGCAACAAAACACCAGTCCCACCCTGACTCCGAGCTCCAGTGTCGCAGTCCCAGCAGCAGCAGCCCCATCTGCAGCCGCAGTTCCTCCTCCCACATCCTCACTTGCAACGGCAGCAGCAGCACCACCGGCAGCAGCAGCACCACCGGCAGCAGCAATCTCTCCTCCCTCATCCTCACCCGCAGCGGCAGCAGCAGCAGCAGTAGCGGCCTCAGCAGCGGCAGCAGCAGATGCAACGGCAGCAGTAGCAACAGTCGTTCTCCCCTTCATCTTCCACTCCTCCCTCCTTGAGGACTCTCATGAGGAGTTCCTCAACCTCCACCTCCATGATCCCTCCCTCCTTCCCATCTCCACTGACCTCTCCGGCACACCTGTCTTCGCCTTCGCCTCTGCCCCCGCCATCTTCGTCCCTGGCACGTACGAAGAGGCGATGGCGTGCCCTGACGTCCACCTCTAGCTCGCGGCCATCTTCAAGGAGTTGGAGGCCTTTATTGCCAACTCCTCCTTTGTGGATGTGCCCTGTCCCCCCTCTACCACTAATGTGGTCAAAGGGAAGTGGGTGTTTCGGGTGAAGCAGCTGCCTGGCGAGCCGTCGGTCTACAAGGCCCGCTACGTCGCCAAAGGCTTCACCCAGCGCTACGCCGTCGACTTCTTCGACACCTTCTCTCCCACCGCCAAGCCTGCCACTATTCGTGCAGTGCTTGATCTCGCTACCCGCCTCAACATGGAGATCCACTCCATGGACGTCTCAAATGCCTTTCTCCAGGGCATTCTTCGCGAGCTCATCTTCATGGAGCGTCCTGCAGGCTTCCACCTCCCCTCCCCTCCTCACCAACTACTCTGACTCCTCTTGGGCCGACTCTCGGCCTGACCGTCGCTCCTCCCAGGGCTATGGCTTTTCTCTCGGCAGCGGCCTCATCAGCTGGCGTTCCACCCGCTCCTCCGCCATCGCTCTCTCCTCCTGCGAAGCGGAGCTGTACGCCGCCACCATGACCGCTCAGGAGGCCCGTTGGCTCTCTTTCCTTCTTGAGGAGCTTGGTGCCCCTCAGCGATGTCCCACCATCTTGTGCGACAACGCCAGCACCATCCACCTCACGAAGGATGCGATGTTCCACCGGCGCTCGAAGCACATAAAGCTTCGCCACTACTTCATTTGCGAGCTCGTTCAGGACGGCCACCTCCAAATGGGCAAGATTGCCTCTGCTGCCAATCTTGCCGATATCTTCACCAAGGTTCTCCCCCTCGCCCCCCACGCCTCCCTCCTCCGCCTCCTTGGCCTCACCCCTCCTGTCACCCTTTCCGCCTCTTGGTTCATGGCTTCTAGTCTTATGCATGTTGGGGGTTGTGTTGTAATATATTATTATATACAACATGCATGACTAGAATAGGAGGTGTAGACATTTAAGTTATTGGGGGGTTGTTGGTTGGGATCACCAACCACAAATTTGGTTGGTCAAGATTGGATTTGGCCTTGGTCCTTTGGTTGGCACTTTCCAACCGAATGGTCCCAAGGCTCCACCAATCAGCAACCACCACACTTTGGGGTTGCTTCCCCTCCAAGCTACCTCTCCCATTGGCCACTCTTGTAGCCAATAGGAGTGCCTTCCGTTCCAACCATTCCTTGCTCCTTGGTTGTTCTATAGAGCCTCTTGGCTCCCTTTCTAGTTAACACTTTTCTCTCTAATGTTACTTCTCTCACCACATGCCATCATGACCAACCACATGCCATCATGACCAACCACATGCCATCATGACCAACCACATGCCATCATGACCGACCACATGCCATCATGACCAACCCCATGCCATCATGACGGACCACATGCCATCATGACCAACCACATGCCATCATGACCAACCACATGCCATCATGACCAACCACATGCCATCATGACCAACCACATGCCATCATGACCAACCACATGCCATCATGATCAACCACATGCCATCATGACCAACCACATGCCATCATGAGCAGCCACATGCCATCATGAGCAGCCACATGCCATCATGAGCAGCCCCATCCCACCAGCAGGTCAATGGCGATGATGAGGCGTGCATACGCCAGCGCCATGCCCGACTCCCCCAGCTTCCTGCCCCCCTCTGCCTGCCCGCCCCTCCCCGCCACCGGCAGGAAAGAGACACCCCGTGCTGGGATTGGGGGGGTGGGAGAAGGATGTGAAAGAGAAGGATGTGAGGGGTGCCTGAGAATGTGAGTGACGCGGTGTGGGGGGCGGAGCGAGAGATGAGGGGGGTTGGCTGGAAGGAGATGAGTTGCAAGAGGATGGTGGGGTGTGACGATTGATGGACGCAGAGAGAGGAAGGAAGAACTCACTCAGTGAGAAAGAGGGGTGGAAGTGCCAACCGTGGGGCGTGGGAGGGACTCACGGAGCGGGCCGAATGTGGCGGAGACGAGGCGGACAAGGTAAGCCACGATGCGAGCCAGGTGACGCACCAGCTGCGAGAGAGAGGTTGGGAGGGGGAGAGAGGGAAGCGGACGGGGATGGATGGAAGGGAAGATGGTTCCCATGGTGGGGCGATGGGCAAAAGAAGAGACCCGTCGCACCCATGCGTGCACAGCACTAGCTGCCGTCGCACCACCCCACTGACCTCGTCCAGCGGCTGGGTCCACAGCGAGCTCTCCTGCATCTCCCTCACCCGCTGCACCTGCGCTCTTAGCTCCACCACCACCTCCCCTGCATGCACCGCATCGCACCGCATCAGATAGGAACCAACTGCGGCACATTGAATGCATGGAATCGTACGGATCGCACGCCAGCACAACCCCATGCCCATGCCAGTGTGCTGCTGCACATTTCAAATCGGGAGCACCCGGGGCAGTGCAACACAAGTACGCCCTCCTCACCGCGTGCACTGGCATCAGCGCCGGGATCCCCTGCACTGTCAGCGTCCCCTGAGCCAGCAGCATCGGTGCTTCGACGCATGGCCTCCAGCAGCAGCACCTCCCGCCGCAACTCCTGATGCACGGGGGTGCATGGGAATGGCAGCAATGGTGGGAAAGAAGACGGAAGCAGAACGGGATGGGGCCTCAAGAGCCACAAGTACCGTAGGTGGGGGCGTGTCACGCTCCATGGTAGTGCAGGCCTACTAGCAGCTCTCACTCATCAATATGCCAATGCGTCTCACCTCACCATGCTAACACCTCCTACCATGTCACTGCATCTCAGCTCCCTTCACCATGCTGCCATGTGTGTCTCACCATGGTGATCTGAGCATCTTCCTCCATCTGCAGCAGCAGCTCGTCCATCGCCTCATCCTCCGCCTCCCCTCCCCCTCGCTGCTGCTCCCCCCCCCCTGCTCCTGCCAGGCTGGGAGAGGGAACGGGTACGTGCAGGGGTGGGGAAGGGTTGGAGTGGGTGGGTCGACTTAAGAGTTGTGGGCACAGGTGAGTTGCCGGGACGGGTGGGTTGTGGGCATGGTCTGAAGGGAGTCCATTGAAGGCCCTGAAGGAGGGAGGGCAAGGTTGGAGACGTTTGTGGGCGCGGTTGAAGAGGGAGGCAGTGCGCACCTGGAGAAGTGGTGCGCGAGGGAGTGCAGAGGGGAGTCGGCGCACTGCAAGCCCAGGCGAGCCACACTCGCTGCCAGTCGACCCAGCTCCTCCCTGCACGCCTTACACACGGGGGGTGATGCACACCACATACACACACACACACACACACACACACACACACACACACACACACACACACACACACACACACACACACAGAACATGAGAGGGAGAAGCGCACGGAAGCAAGTGAGAGCGTGGAGACAGAGGCTGAGATCACCCAATGCAGCGGCAGGCTTGTTGCAGCTCGCACCTCCTCACAAGCGGCACGGAAGGACTGACCACTTGATGACTTGAGTCAAAAGTCATCACGGAAGGACTGACCACTTGATGACTTGAGTCAAAAGTCATCACGGAAGGACTGACCACTTGATGACTTGAGTCAAAAGTCATCACGGAAGGACTGACCACTTGATGACTTGAGTCAAAAGTCATCACGGAAGGACTGACCACTTGATGACTCGAGTCAAAAGTCATCACGGAAGGACTGACCACTTGTCCTGAGCTGCGATCTGCCAGACGTGGTTGAAGTCGGAGGAGAGCAGGAAGGCGATGCCGTCGGACGCCACCACCTCCCGCCTGAGCTCGTCCACGTCCTCCGCCACCAGCGACTGCCGCACCACCGCTGCTCTCAGCACCGCTGCTGCCACCTCGAAGGAACGCACGCCCATCCTGCCAGCACCCACACACACACACGCGCGCGCACATGCCATCCAGTGCGCACATGCCATCCAGAGCACACATGGCATCCAGAGCACACATGCCATCCAGAGCACACATGCCATCCAGAGCACACATGCCATCCAGAGCGCACATGAGCGCGAGAAAAACTGAGTGGGCGTGAAGCAGGGGGAAGGCGGAGTACTGGCAGCGGCAGAAAGCAGAGACGCAAGTTCAAACGGCACCTGGCAGGATGGCACCTAGCAGGGGATGGCACCTAGCAGGGGATGGCAGATTGGTGACGGATTCGGCGGGCTGGGTGGGGCGCGGTGGAGGTGTGACGCTCCTGCAAGCGATGAAGTGATGGGTGGTGGTGGTTGGGAGTGGTGGGAGATGTGAAATATGGTATGTGGGATGCATGGCACAGCATGCTGGTGGGGATGGTGCTGGAGCTGGAATGTGAACAGCAGCGCACAGAGCGGGATGGCATGTGAACAGCAGCGCACAGAGCGGGATGGCATGAGGAGGCGGTATGTGAAGGCAATGGTACCGTGTGGGTGGCGAGGTGCCCTGCACTGAAGTGGCGGCCAGCACGCCTGCTGCTGCCGATGCCTGCTCTGACTGCTGCACTCAAGCTCGCACGCGTGAAATCACACACACACACACTCACGCACACACACACGCAACCAACAGACACACACAGACACGCAACCCACCCCCCCCACCTCCCCTCCCCCACCAAAGCACACACACCACACCCACACACACACGCAACACACACACACGCACACACACACACACACTCACACACACACACACACACATCCGCAGATACCCATTTTAGACGAGGCACATGGACATCAGAGCCCGCATCCGTCACCCGCCTTGTTCCCCTCTTTCGCACTCCCCGCCCTCCCCCGCCCTTGCATCCCTCCTTCCCTTGCATATCCTCCCTCCCCCTAAGCTCTGCGTCTCTTCCTTTGCTTCCCTCGCTACGGCCCCCCTCCTGCCCGCTGCCCCTGCACTTGCCCACACCTTGAGACTGCCGCCCGTGTTTCTGCCCTCTCTCCCCCTCCCCACGTCACTGCAGCACTCCGCGCCATTCAAATCGCCCTCTGCCCGCCCCTTGCTTGCGATGCTCCCCTCATCCGCTTCTCTCCCCTCGTCTCTTCCCCCCCCGCTGCGCATCGCGTCTGTCTTCCGCTCCGCCCTCACCGCACTCCCGCCCCTCATCGCTTCGCCTTTCTGCGCCTCGCCTCCCCGTGCCCTCCGCCTCTTCTCCCCGCCTGCTTGCGCCCGCACCTTCCCCACCTTCGCGCGCCCATCGCCCCCGCATCCGCACAGGGCCCACTCCTCCGCCTGGCCCTCGGCGGCGCCATTCCCAGACTCCGCCGCTGCCGTGTTGGCGGAGGGCGCGGAACTAGCGCAGCCCATTGCGGCGAACGGGCGGCACGACCCGAAGGCGGACACACGGCGGGCGGAGAGGGAGTGTGGGCGCGAAGAGAGTGCGGAGAGATGGCGGGTAGGCGACAACTGAACGACGAGGACAGAGGGGCGATAGTACGGGCGTACGGCCACGAGTGGGCATGCAGGGATGCCTAGGTGTTGTTCATCACACACCGCGCGCACGCGATCATTTTCCAGTACTCCCAGTTGGCAACACCCCGCTCTGTCGACCGCCGCCGACCCTTACTTGCTCTGCCTGGTCTGGGCGAAAACCCTTTTTCTGTAATGCGCGGGTGAGGTCGGAAATGGCACAAGGGCCAAGCAGTGATGGTGAGGTGAGGTGACCCCTCCCCATGCTGCTAGGCTGGCAATGACTCAGTTGGTTCATCATCACGGCTGGCCGAGAGACGAGAAACGTATCGAATCGCGCAGACGAGTCCAAGTGTTAGCAATCACTGTTGCGCTTTTGGGATGGGTCGGTTACATGGTTTGTGAAAATGTTGTGTTTCAGCAGTGTAAGGAGTTATTGATTCCTAACTGAAGCTTGCTCCAGAGCGTACGAGCTTGCTCCAGAGCGTACGAACTCGTACAGTCCCGAACCTTGGGCAGGGTTCCAAACCTTTCGAGCTGAGCCTTCTGGGCCTCTCCGGACCTAAATTCGACACATCGAGGCCCTTCGATACTTTTCCCGGACCTTCCAATCCTACGTCCATGATCACCCTAGGCTTCTGTCAAACATGTGTATTAGTTATGTTTGCATAGACTGTATAGGGTCACCTCTTAGAGGGTACAATACTTAGGTATATCTATCTGTACTCTCCCACTAGTCATCATTCACTTCTCTCATTCTGATATGGTATCACGCGTAGGTTAGGATCCCCCCACCTACCGCTTCCACTCGTCCCCTAGCTAGGCCCCGCCGTGCCTCCCCCCTAGCCCCGTCGCGACCCACTGGGCCCCGTCGTGCCCCTAGCCCTGCCGCGCCCCTCCTGGGCCCCGTTGCGACACCCTATAGCCCCGTCGCGACCTCCTAGCCCCGTTGCGACCCTCCCGGGCCTTGCTGCGCCCCTCGCCCCGTAGTGCCCTTCCTGGGCCCCGTAGCGCCCCTCCTGGGCCCCATCGCGCCCCTCCTGGGCCCCTCCTGGGCCCCGTAGCGCCCCTCCTGGGCCCCGTCGCGCCCCTCCTGGGCCTCTCCTGGGCCCCGTAGTGCCCCTTCTGGGCCCCGTAACGCCCCTCCTGGGCCCCGTAGCGCCCCTCCTGGGCCCCGTCCAGCCTTCAGGCCCCGTCGCGCCCTGCCAGACCCCGTCGCCCTCGCCCGGCCCTGTCGCACCGGCCCGGCCCCGTCCCACCCGCCCGGCCCCGTTGCACCGGCCCGGCTCCGCCGCACCCGCCCGGCCCCGTTGCGCCCTGCCCGGCCCCGTCGCACCTGCCCGGCCCCGTCGCACCCGCCCGGCCCCGTCGCACCTGCCCGGTCCCGTCGCACCGGCCCGGCCCCGTTGCACCGGCCCGGCCCCGTCGCACCCGCCCGGCCCCGTTGCGCCCTGCCCGGCCCCGCCGCGTTTGCCGGGCCCCGCTGCACCGGACCGGCCCCTTCATCCTCACTGGTACGGTTCTCCCCCCCCCCCCCCCCCCCCCCCCTCCCTGCACCACCCTGCTCCGCACTGCACTGCCCTGCACCGCACTGCACCGCCCTGCACCGCCCCGCACCGCACTGCACTGCCCTGCCCCGCACTGCACCGCCCTGCACTGCTCTGCTTTGCACTACACCTCACTGCACCGTACTGTCCCGTCCTGCACTGCCCCTGATGGCGGCGGAGCTTCGCTTCGACGCTGAAGGCCAGCCTCTGGAGTTCGAGGCGTGGCTTGCCGACCTCCGGCGCCAACTCACTGGCCAGCGGCAGGATGGTGAACCGCTTTCCGCACACCTTGACGGTACGCTCCCCTGCCCAGACCCCCCTGCTATTCTGCCCGCTGATTCCATACCCACTGAGCGCGAGTCTACTGCTGCCACTGCCCGTGCGCGCTCTGTCTGGCTTTCTCGCGATGCTGTCGCCCAGCTTGCCATTAGCAACGCCCTTCCCCCATCCGAGCGCCCTCGCTTTAGGTCCCTCACTACTGCTCAGGCATACTTAGATGCTGTCATCAAGCGCTATTCCACCCCTCCGGCTGCCTCGGTGGGTCGCCTGATCCTCCCGATGCTCTTTCCTGACCTTGCATCTTTCCCCACTGTCTCTGACCTCGCTGCCCACCTGCGCTCGATAGATGAGACCTAACGCGCTGCCTGCACTGACGCACAGCTTAGAGCCCACCAGCCGCCCATTACCTCTACCCTTTACCTGCTTGCCACCCGCCTCCCTGACCGCCTTGCTGTCGCCCGCGACCACTTCCTTAGCATTCACCCCGCAAACCTCACCCTCACTGACTTTGTAGACACCCTGACTGTGATTGAGACCCGCCACCGCTCCATCGCCCAGGCGAGCGGTACCGTGCCGGTCCCTATCTTTCAGGGTTGTGCCCCTGCTCAGTGTACCTTCTCCGACGGCTCTGCCGCAGTGGCTGAGACCACTGCTGCAGCGCTGTTTCGTTCGGGGAAGGGCCGCCGCCCCAAAGTTGGACGCGGCGGAGGAGGCGGGGGTGCGGGAGGGGGTGGTGGTGGAGTCGGGTCGTCTGGTGCTGGAGCGGACGAGGGGACCCTGCCCAGTCCAGCTGAGCCGCTGCCCCTGCAGTTGCAGCAGCCGCAGCAGCCGCCGCAGTCGCAGCCTTTGCAGCAGCCGCAGCAACCGTCGCAGACGCGGCAGACGAGTGTCCTCCCGCCCGGGTGGCCCGGCGCTGGCGGTGGCCGGGCGCGTGGTGGTGTGCCGAGTGGTGGCTCTGGAGGCGTGCGTTGTCAGTACCAGATCCAGACCGGTCCTCGCCGCGGCTTCGTTTGCGGTAAGATCGGTCACTCCACTCCCCGCTGTTTTCGTCGCCTGGACGACCTCTTTCGTCAGCGCTTCGGCCCGTCGCCAGACCTTTTGGACTGGCACAGTTTGCTTAGTCGTAAGATTCAGATTTTTGACATGGACATGGATGCCATTGTTGCTGCTCTGCATGTGATGTATGCTGATGACTCTAGTGTGCTTCCCGCTTATTACTCACTGTCGGCTAGTGTAGGTGTGCCTAGCTTAGCCTCCCCTGCTGCGTCAGGCGTAGGATCCCCTGCTTTGTGTAGTCTTGGTGCTTCCGCCGTCGTTCCGTCGACAGACGCCTCTGCTTCGCTTTCCTTCACCCTGGACTCTGGCGCTTCCCGGTGTTTCTTCCGCGACTTCACCACCCTGACGCCGCTTCCTGTTCCTGCTGCCGTTTCTCTTGCTGACCCCTCCGGCGGTCCGGTAGTCGCCCGCAGTTCCACCACCCTTCCCTGTCCGGCGGTTCCTTCGGGCACTCTCACAGGTCTGCATATCCCCTCATTCTCCAGGAACCTAGTTGGTGTCGGCTGCCTCCAGGACCTTGGCGTCACCACTACGTTCCCTGGTCACGAGCGGTATGCTGTCTGTACCGAGGCCGCCACTGGTGCCCCCCTGTCCACGTTCCCCCGGGAACCGGTGTCCGGCCTGTTCACTCTGGACACCGTGACCCCCCCGGCTGGAGCGCTCACCCAGGTTGCTGCTGCCTGCTCCTGTCGGTCCCTCACTCACCCGACTCTCCTTTGGCACCACCGCCTAGGTCACCCTGCGCTTCCGCGTCTGCGTCACATGTCCCAGCACGGTCTTGTCCTTGGTCTCCCAGGTTCTCTCCCCGCGTTTCCCTCCTCCCCAGCCCCACCTTGCACGCCTTGTGTCGAGGGTCGGCTTTGCCGTGCCCCTCACTCCTCCTCGTTTCCCCCTACCGCCGCGCCGCTGCAGACCCTTCACCTGGACGTCTGGGGCCCCGCCCCCGTCCCTGGGCCGCGTCGAGAGCACTACTTCCTTGTGCTTGTCGACGACTTCACTCGTAACACCACAGTCTTTCCCCTGGAGCGCAAGGCCGACGTGCCTAGCGCTCTCATCCCCTTGCTTGTCTCTGCGCGTGTCCACCGCGGTCTCCCTGTCTTGCGTCTTCACTCCGACCGTGGTGGCGAGTTTGCCTCAGGTGTCCTTGGTCACTTTTGTCGTCCGGAGGGCATCACCCAGACGTTCACCCTACCGGACTTCCCACAGCAGAATGGGGTCGCTGAGCGACGCATCGGTTTGGTCATGGAGGTGGCTCGCACCTCCATGATCCATGCCGGTGCACCCCATTTTCTGTGGCCGTTCGCTGTGCGCTACGCTTCTCACCAGCTTAACTTGTGGCCGCACCCTCAGCAGTCGCAGGTTTCGCCGACCCGTCTTTGGACTGGGTCTCCTAGTGACGCGTCTGCGTTCCACGTCTGGGGCTGCCTTGCTCACGTCCGTGCCTCCGGCACGGACAAGCTGACTGCCCGCACCCTTCCCTGCGTCTTCCTCGGTTTTCCCCTTGACGCGTCCGACTGGCACTTTTACCACCCGCTGTCTCACCGCTTCTTTCACTCTCGCGACGTCACATTTGACGAGTTCGTCTCCTACTACCATCGCTTCCCCCACTGCGGTCCCCCGGTTACCCCCCCCCTGTTCTTGGTCACTCCTTCCCCGGTAGTCCCTGCCCCTCCTCCTCCTCCTCCCCGTCCTGCCCCCTCTGGTGTGTCCCACGTCAGCCCCCTTCCGTCGATAGACCCGGTTGAGGAGTCTTCTGACTCTGGTGGCCCTGCTGCGCAATCCTCGCCGGCCGCCCCTCCCCCGGCGTCCCCTCCCCATTCCCCTCCTCCACCGCCTCTGCCTCCGCTGCAGCCGTCTTTGTCGCTGCCGCCGCCGCCGCCGCTGTCCCAGCACCCGTTCGCTGACTCTGGGGGTGCTCGTCCCGTTCGCCCTGGGGGTGGTCCCTCTGGGGGTGCTGGTGTGGAGTGTGTCGGTGGTAGCCGAGGAGCAGCTTGCGGTCCACGTGTTGCCGTTGTGCCGCCGCAGCAGCAGTCCCCGCCGGTGTCAGCCCTTCGCCTGCTCGGCCTTCCGTCCCCTGACCCTGCGGCTGTTCCTCTCCGACCGTCTCCTCCTCTTCCCGTCTACGGCCCTGTGTTCCCTCCGCCGGACTCGTCCCCGGCCCGTCTTCCCCCTCGTTCCCCTCCTGTGTCCCCTCCCCTGTCTCCTGACCCGACTCCTCCGTCGCACGTCTGGTCTCACCGTCCCTCCCGTGCTCGTCCTGCCTCGCCTGTCTTGCGCTCCCACCCTATGTTGCTTCGTTCCCACGCGTCTCATCCTCCCCTTCTGTCGTCG